AATTGGGATGCTGCCCCCGCGACCCGGACCCGGATAAGCGGAGGAAGACGAAGACGACGAAGACGAAGACGCCCAGTTGTTGAAAAATATTGGCGGCTTCGTACATATAACCATAAAAATCAGGTCAAAAATACACGGGAGCGGGTCTAAGGCTGTGTCTCAATTCAGGGTCTGCATCCTATGTCGGCCGGATTCGTCGGCCGGTTACGTCACAGCGCCGCGACTAGGCCTGTCCCAATTCGAAGACTCCTTCAAATGCGGTCGACGAATGCGGCCTTCTTTTCGCCTGAATGAAGGATGGGTCGGGTGTATCCTTCAATAGGTAGCATTTCCCAAGATGCCTTGCGGGCCGGCCGGCAGAAAAACTTAAAAACAATGGCGGACAGTGAAGCGGGAGCTGTCGGAGAGGATTGCGCATATAAATGTCAGTATAAACTTGAAAACTGTTAGGTTAAGGACTTTTTGTGATACACGAACGTTATTTTAGTTAGAAATGTTACAGTAAAAGTGCTTGTATTGCGGTCTCGGCTCGTATGTTCGGCCGCGCTCGGTGTCGTACTTCTCCCGCTACGTTTCCCCCTGCTTTTAATAGAAGTTTGTATTTTAGGGACAAAAGAGAAAACCAGGGAATTTATTAAGCTTAGGGCGGAGGTGGACCACATGATCACCGGAGCAAAGTATTCAGCGGCTGTGGCATGGAGGTACAATAACATCTCATATTTTAAAAAACTCGTTTGAGCTTATTTTTTCTGCGAAAACATGAAAGGAATAACCCGTTGTCCTCTTTTCTCTATCTGTTGTTTTCTTACATGTTTGTTAAGACTATTCTGGAGAAGATGGGCATCCAGGGGAAGGTGACAGCGATGACCAGCTTCTGGAGCTGATCTGGGAGGACATGAGGCTGCAGAGGGCACAGGAGAGAAGGACGAACTTTGGCAGCTTTTTACTTTGCTAGAAAAAAATGGTTAATGAAGATTAAACATGTACATATAAAAGAAATATCTAAATAAAATCAGTTCTGCATTAAACTCTTGAATTTTATTTTTGTTTACAAATGAGAATTGTTTACTAGAGGGTATCCCGCTGGGTCTTGAAAAGTCTTAAAAGGTGATAAATCAGTTTTGGTCAAATTAAGACCCTTAGAAAGTATTAAAAACTATTATCACATCTTTGCTCAGGCTCAGCTTGTCTAAAGTATTTTCTCTGAATTAGCTCTCCAACAGTCAAGGAAATGATTAACCCCCAGAGACCCACGGTTGTAATATTACAACATCAGATTTAAGTCCACAAAAATAAACCTTCCCCATTTTTTTTTTCTTTTTAAAACCACATTTACATTGCTAATAGGTCCTATTGTTCAGTTCTGCAACACTATTGGCTGTTAAAATGTGTAAATAGGCCCGTTTATCTGGCCTCCTAGAACAACATGTGAAAGGTTAAAAAAGATTTTGCAGTTTTCTAAATTTGGGTTTCTGGGGGTTAAAAAGCTAAATAAAACGTCGAACTCCATTGTTTAAAGTTCCTTCTCCCTTCTGCCCAGCGGTTCCACGGTTGCTAGGCGACGGAACGTTCGCCGAGGGAGTTCATGAAGGCTAGGCCTGTCCCAATTCACAGCCGTTAACATCCGGTCTACCCGGCCGACGGAGGACGCAGCCCACGTCGGCCGGGTGGGCTGGGTCCTTCGAAGGATGCAGACCCTGAATTGAGACACAGCCTATGTCTCTGGGAGACACCATATTAGATCCTTTGTTTCATCCTACGGGAGCCCATGAGGACAAATTGCATTTACTGATATGTAACAAACAGTTAAAAACTTTCGTCATTCTTAAATGTTTTTGTTTTACACATTTACCTCTTCCTGTCAGGTTCGGTGGCAGAGCTGAAGCGTGGCTAAGAAGATCTGTTGCCCAGACGCGGAGTGATGGAGCTAACCAGCGTGGTTATATCCTTTAGGTCAGGTTTGAAGGTTTGAGGGCTGGTAAGCCTGGAAACTCGATACAAAGTCTGGTGAGAACGATGACAGAGGAAGGAAAGCCGGCACTTCCTTTTATAGTGTCGGCGTGATGACACACTCTTTCTCTCTCTCTCTCTCTCTCTCTCTCTCTCTCTCTCTCTCTCTCTCTCTCTCTCTCTCTCTCTCTCTCTCTCTATATATATATATATATATACATATATATATATATATATATATATATATATATTCCTGTGATCCCCAGAGATTTTTCGAGTCTCCTCCTGACCTTTGCTCTCCAGATCCAACATCGCCACCACTTCTCTCGCCATAGACTTCGGACAAACAACTTCCACAGCGTCTGCTCTCCGATCCAGCCAACCCACTCGTCTCCACCTGCTTTCCCTCTGTTCCCCGAGGATTCAGGAACCCTCCTGATCTCCGAGCCATCTCCACTTCCTCGCTTCTACGTTTAACTCGGACCGGACCCTCATCCCCTCCTCCTCGGTGCCTGCCTCCATCCTTCCAGTAAGACTGTTCCCCTTAAGCCTGCCTGTCGTTCCTCTCCTCGAACCCTTCTCACTCTCCTGTGTTTTCTCCCTAGACCCTGACTTCCATCCCGGCGTGCTCCTCTCAAACTCGCTCCACCTTAGCATCATCTAGAGCATCTTACCTTTTCTTGTGTCCCTCCTATGATTCTGCATGTCTTGGGTTAGCCGGTTAAACCAGAGCATGACAGAATCATCTGACCAAGCGGCTAACCCCGCAGAATCAGCTCCCCCTCCAGATATCTCAGAGGCGCTCCACATCCATGCACTCTCTCTCCGGTCGTTATGCGAACAACTGGCCTCTACTAACCAGGGGCTTCTCCAGCTGGACACAGCTGTGGTACAACTCCTGGAGAGGGGTGCTCCACCACCCCCGTTGGTCCAGACTCCCACGGTTACAGCCGATTTAGCCCCCGCTGAGTCTCCTGATCCTGTGTTTTTCCGGGTAGCAGAGTCTCCGCCCAGAATGGCGTTCCGTGGTGATCCTGAGCAGTGTTTGGGGTTTCTTTTGCAATGTAGACTGGCTTTCGGGCGCTCTCCGGGTTATTTTCCTAATGATGTGGCTAAGGTGTCTTATATGTTGGGGTTCCTTCGAGGGAAGGCGTTACAGTGGGCTGAAGCCAAAAGCCACACCCCCAGCTTTTTAGAAGGCCCCCTTTCTGATTTATTTGGCTGATTTTAAGTTAGTATTCGGGTGTGCTGCCAAGCGTTCTGATATCGCTAAAAAGATCTGGCACTTGTCTCAAGGCTGCCAGACTGTGTCTGAATTTGCCCTGCAATTCAGAATACTCGCTGTCGCCTCCGCCAGGAATGAGGACTCCTTAATGGGTGCTTTCCAGGAGGCCCTAAGTGAAAGAATAAAAGACTAATTGGCTCTCTGTCCTGAACCAAACAGTCTGGAGGAGCTTATCGCTCTCGCCACCAAGATAGACAAACACGTTAGGGATCGCACAAGAGGTGTCTGTCCTCCTTCTTCTCCTCTGCCTTTCTCTCAGGTTTCCCATGCACAGGCTTCTTCCCCACCCACAGAGGAACCCATGTAAATTGGCAGGACAAGGCTCAGCACCGAGGAACGTAACAGACTCGTGGCATCCAGGCTTTGTCTCTACTGTGGAATGGCCGGACACTTTGTTTCCCAGTGCCCCACACAGTCAAAACGTGACGGCCCACCAGTGGGGTCGGAAGTACGGGTGGGCGCTATGCTAACAGTTTCTCCCGCTGCCTTTTACCTTGTGTTCTTTTTTTTGGCCGCAACAAACACAACACTCAGGCACTGTTGGACTCTGGCAGTGAGCGGAACCTGCTGGACAAGACCATCGTCAACTGCCTTTGCAACCCCACCATTCCTCTCACCAGCCCCCTGCACGCTACCTCCTTAGATGGGAGTCCCCTGTCCCCAATCACCCACCAAACTGTACCCATCACTCTTCAAACCGCAGGAAACCACCACGAACAAGTGACATTCTTTGTATTTCCATCTCCGCAGTCCTCAGTGGTTCTGGGACACCCCTGGTTGGTTACCCACAACCCCCATATTGACTGGAGGACCAGTCATATCGAATCCTGGAGTTCCCGTTGCCTTCTCACCTGCCTACGAGCACCTGGTCAAAGCAGGACCAATCTCCTCGCTTCTACGTTTAACTCGGACCGGACCCTCATCCCCTCCTCCTCGGTGCCTGCCTCCATCCTTCCAGTAAGACTGTTCCCCTTAAGCCTGCCTGTCCTTCCCCTCCTCGAACCCCTCTCACTCTCCTGTGTTTTCTCCCTAGACCCTGACTTCCGTCCCGGCGTGCTCCTCTCGAACTCGCTCCACCTAAGCGTCATCTAGAGCATCTTACCTTTTCTTGTGTTCCTCCTATGATTCTGCTTGTCTTGCGTTAGCCGGTAAAACCAGAACATGACAAGTTGGCACTCCCCAGGGCTTGTTGCTTGCTTGCAACGATTTAGGCACTGCCCCCTATCACCAGGAAATTCTTAACTGAGTTGATCACAAAAAAGACAAAAAGGAGAGAAATAAAAGATTTACAGCAAAGAAATAAAATGACAATCAGAACAAAAACCCAAAGAAACCCGAATGCTATTTAAAATCTATAAGATCTCTTAACCACAACTAAAATGTATTAAAACTTTCCAAACAGTAGACAAAATGATGGAAAACTTCTTTATTATCATCACCAACGCAGAGCTCAAGAAGATTTTTGACTTCCTTATCGTCACACACTTTAATGTCTGAAATTAATGCATAACAACACATTCCTGCTGAATAAACTACGGAGGGTGTGCTTGCACAGCTGCTGCCATGCAGATGAGGCTCCTCACTGATACTTCCACAGCTGAGGTCAGCGGATCATGAAGCACGCCTTGAGGGGAGAGAGAGCTGTTGTCAGCGGACAGATGGAAACAGTCTCTACGTCACACGCAGGGTGTTTCCTGCACAGGATGTCCATAATCAATGACCAAAGACAGCAACCAATCACAGGCCCCATGCTAATGAGCCTCGTCTGAGCCGCTGGATCTTCCTTATGAATCGTTGCTTTGCAGACTGACCGGATTTCTGCCGCGGACACCGGAGGGAGCAGCTGATCCCAGACCAGCCGAACCTTTTGACTTCCTCTCTTCTCAGGATCGCTCATATCTGCTGCTGCTGAAACTCCGGGGATTATTTATTATTTCTGAAGGATTGAAGGAGCAGATCTGAGCTGAAGAACTTTTTGCTTCTTCCGTTTTTAAAGTTAATATGTCTGCAGCTTCGGATCAGAGTCAGCGGTTCTGCGTGTTGTCCTGGGATCAGGTGCGGCGTCTGGACTCGATCCTGGGGGAGGCTGTGCCCATCCACGGCCGCGGAAACTTCCCCACTCTGTCCGTGCAGCCCCGTCAGATCGTCCAGGTAACACACACACACACACACACACACACACACACACACACACACACACACACACACACACACACACACACACACACACACACACACACACACACATGTTTTAATGAAAAAAAAAGGCAGTTGATTTGTAATATTTTGTAAATTTATTAATTTTACTGTAATTTGCTCCCTTTGAAAGCCACTGATCCAACTAAAATTCAGAATTTTACAGGAAACTCACTTCATTTCATAATTATTTCTAACATATTGTCACAATCTTGAGGTCTTTATGCGTCAAATGTTCTGAAAATGTTTTAAATAGATTAGTTTCGACCTTTAGGATAATTTTAGTTGAAAAAATGTGTGTGTGGATAGGTTACTTGCCCTTAAGCCACCTCATGTGTCACTCAAGTCACAGGCACAGTCACAGTCACGATAAATGACGACGACAACAACAACAACAATAATAAAAATAATCTAAAAGAGAAAAAATGCTTATTTTTCATGTTTTTTTTATTTATTTTTATTTGCTTGAAAGCTAGATAATTATTAAAATCCAATAAGTATTTCAAAGTAAAACCCTGAGTGGACATATTGAGGCACTTTTGTTTAAGTATGTATGAAAGGATAATGATAAAATGTGATTTTCATGCCTAAAGATGAATAAAAACACTTTCGCAAGTCATGCATGAAAATGGCAACCACCTAAAACAGTGGAAATTATGTGTCAATTAAACAAATCCTGTTGCTGTCTGACTCCTGTGCAGCTAAACCCGACCCACACATGGGATCCAGATTCATGCAACAGCCTCTCATTGTAGCCGGATCACATGCCAGCGCCCCCGCTGCTGTGCCCCCCACTGTTTGCACTAAAAGTGGAAAGAAAGTGTAGCGTTGAGAGAAACACGGCAGCCGCTGTCACGGGGTCTTCTTTTCCATCTCGATTCCACTCTAGAGACGAGAGGCCGGAGAAGCCCAGAGCTTCACGCTCTGTGGTTGTGGAAAGATGAATGGTCCATTGAACAGGCGGGAGGCTTAAATCGGGGGGGGGGGGGGTTTCAAGTTTTCCTCTGGATTTGTGGAATCCCTGCATAATTCAGTCACACATCTGCTGCGTGGATTCATTTAAAGCGTTTGTGTTTTAATAACGAGCCAGTGTGTGCGTTGTGTCAGGGAACACATGGATGACCATGTGGACCTTTGTCCCACTGCAGAGTTGGAGGAATAAACACATCGCTAGCATCGCAGGAGCTCCGGCAGCGTGACTGTAGGTTAAGACAACAGCAGCTGCTTTGGATTTCAGAAGTTTGTCTCAGAGCTGATGATCAGATCTGCAGAGCAAATTGGCTTCATTTTAAAATTGTTTACCCCTCCTAAATGAAGGAGACTAGACTAAAATCTGGCAGGATTTGATGTTAAGCCACCGGGTTAATTCCTTTACTTCCAGGGGCAGAGCTGGATGGGGGGGGGGGGGGGGGGGGGGTGTTTGGCTTAACCACTCACCTGTGTCCATGCAAGTAATACCAGCCAACAAGCACAGAAGCATGGTGAAAGCTCCTGACTGGAGTTTGGACCCAACCTGTTCAGCTTTATGGCTGACAGATAGTGATCTCCCACCAAAGTGCTGCCGCTCCAGTTGAGTTCCCTCCTGCATCGACTGCCTTGTCTTCAGAAGTTTGCCCACAGCCTGACCTAGTATGTATAAATAGAGCCGTGGTGTTATCTGATCACCATGGGAGAGAGAGTTAACTGATGCTAATCTGACGGGTCAGCGCCGTGGAGGATTGCGCGTGAGCGTGGGGCAGCTAGCCGGTGCTACAGGTGCTAATATTTCTGTTGTCTGACCGGCGGGAGCACAGGAAGTGATGCGTCCATCATCCCACGTCAAGCACACGGTACTGAAAAGTTCATTTGCAAAAACAGATTGTTGTTTATTTTCTTCAATAAAAATCAAGTTTGGTGATTTTGAACAAAAATGAATTTTATCTGATTTTGCAAACGAACTCTTCATTCTGCTGCCGAGTTACGTTTTCTAAGCGGAAACGCTGTGTGATGCATTTCTGCTGGAGGCCCTCTTCCTGCTTCGCTCACGGGTCAGCATTGTGCTGACTTATCTGTGCGGCTCTGATAAGACAGTTTGATCCGGGGGAAGATGGACCTGGTGACTCCCCATCACCTTTTTGGGTGGATGGTGATGAAATGGACTTTTGTGAGCGTTTGTATTGATCCTGCCTTCACAGGCTATTGATTTCCTTGAGGCATTGTGGATCTAACTTTTATTTAAGCAATTGCAACAGTGTTTTCATTCAAAAAAATCGTGTGTGTTTGTGTTTTAAAACGACGTGTTTTTGTCCAGGTGGTGCGAGCCAGGCTGGAGGACAGAGGCGTGTGTGTTAAGGATGTGAGGCTGAACGGTTCTGCTGCTAGTCACGTGCTCCATCAGGACAACGGACTGGGCTACAAGGACCTCGACCTGATCTTTGGCGTGTCGCTGAAGGATGACCAGGCCTTCCGGCTGGTGAAGGATGTCGTCCTGGACTGTCTGTTGGACTTCTTGCCGGCCGGAGTCTCCAAGGAGCGCATCACGGCCCTGACCCTCAAAGAGGTGTATGTTCAGAAACTGGTGAAAGTCTGTAATGACACGGATCGCTGGAGCCTCATCTCGCTGTCCAACAACATGGGCAAGAACGTGGAGCTAAAGTTCGTGGACTCTCTCAGGCGACAGTTTGAATTCAGTGTGGACTCCTTCCAGATCTGTCTCGATTCTTTGCTCTTATTTGACCGCTGCTCAGAGACGCCCATGTCTGAGAGCTTTCACCCCACAGTGATCGGGGAGAGCGTCTACGGCGACTTCCAGGCGGCTATGGATCACCTGTGTCAGAGAACCATAGCCACTCGCAGCCCAGAGGAAATTAGGGGTGGCGGCTTGTTGAAGTACTGCCACCTGCTGGTCCGGGGGTTCACTCCCTCTTCAGAAGCAGACATGAAGCTGCTGCAGCGCTACATGTGTTCACGCTTCTTCATAGACTTCCCCGACATAGGAGAGCAGCAGCGGAAGCTGGAGGCTTACCTGCAGAACCACTTCGCCGGCATGGAGCACAAACGCTACGAGTGCCTGCTGACTCTGCATCAGGTGGTGAATGAGAGTACCGTGTGTCTGATGGGCCACGAGCGGCGCCAGACGCTCAGCCTCATCTCCATGCTGGCGCTGAAGGTGCTGGCGGAACAGAACGCCATTCCCACTGTGACGAACGTCACGTGCTACTACCAGCCAGCACCGTACGTGCAGGACATCAACTTCAGTAATTATTACATCGCACACGTGCAACCGCCTCAGATCACGCAGTGCACTAGCGCATATCAAACATGGCTGCCCTGCAGCTGAGCCAGGACGGGTCGCTCTGTTGGGGGGGGGACACACACTCATGCTTGCCAAATGTGACTTGACTGAAACAATCCCGTACTGCTGTACACCTGATCGAACTGACAGAAACACTGCTTAAAATTTGACCCGGAAGTCAGATAAGAGATCTGGGAATGACGGAATCATGTCAGGAAAACTGCTGGGATCTTCTGTGCTCAGTGATAATCGTGCATTTCTCTGCTTTCAAACACTAAAGCTCCTTGTTCACCAGCACAGGTGATGAAATATTACAAATGTGATGAAGCAGATGTGCAACCAAACATTGTGTCCCCGCCGCTCTCACCTCGACTCCGCCTCCTTCCAGATGTTCTGTCTGACTCCCGAGTTGAAACGAAGCGCACCGATACCGTTTTCACGTTTCCTCTGGAAAACATCCGTGAGATTGCTGGTCATTTCTGAGATGTAGCTTTGAATCTTATTTAAGTTCTGAAAAACAAGTCGCTAAGAAACTTTCTGCAAATGTCAGAAACACAAACAAACGCGGATGCTGGTGTTATTTTCATACAGATTTCTTTTTTAATTCCGTACTGGACCAAAGATGTTTTTGTTGCTCTTAAAGGAAAAAAAAAACCGAATGTTGTTATAATTCCTGGTGCCTAAACAGAACCGCAAAACGTTGTAAAAACATCTGCAAACAACAACTGTGAACTCAGTGTTTTCTAGATCAGTCCATCTCTCTTTTCAGAAACAGAAACAATCATTTTTGTGACATTAATAAAGGGAGACGCCCTTTTTTCACCGTGGTTATTTTGTCTCCTTATGACTGTTGACATCTCATTGTTCGGTTTTGAAGGGGTGGAGGTTAATTCGTCGTGGGGATTATGTCAGTCAAGCTGTAAACTGTCACATAAACGTCATGTTTTCATTAAATATGAGAAGCTTCGGCTGGAACACCACTCCTCGCCAGACTTGAGCTTTTGTCTTGTCTTCCTCCCTGCAGCTTGGAGGTGATTGGTCCAAAAACAAAGTGACGGTCAGCTGGTTGGTTTCCAGTAACTGACTGAAATTCATATACTGGTTGCTGGAGTGAGTAGTGCTTGTAAACTGGGTTTGAGGATCCATTACAATCTAAGGACATCAACCATGAGGAGGCTTTTTCTCAGCAGCACAATAGCTGCTCTCTCCTCTGTGATACCAGAGCTTTTAGACAAAGGTCGACTTGTTCTCTTGTCATGTTACCGCTGGAAATCCAGCCTCTGTTTGCCACACTGACACGTATATCCATTTCATTTGATCTCAGTCAAAATACAAAAGACAAAAAAAAAAAAAGTCTGTAGCAGAAAGTTTATTGCAAAGTCAAACTGGGAGTGACGCGGACAAACCCTGGAGCTGCACAACCCCGCTGGTTCCTTTCAGACCAGTAATTACGTCTGAGAATAAAAAAGCCTCAATCTGAAATCTGAGAGCAAGAAACCGCTGCTCCCTTTTCCTCCTCGCATTCGACCCTTGATCACTCTGAAACCTCCAGATTGGTGCTGAAAGGCAGAAATAAAAACGTGCTGTTATTGAAGACACACGGTCAGTTCTCTGGGCCCAGGGCACCGCTGGTTCTGGTTCTGGTCACAAGATCGCTGAAGCGGGGGAAACCGCTGCTGCCAGTAGGAAGAACAGCAAGCCTGTAATGTTCTAATAGAAATTCATTTATTTTCGTGTAATATGATCTCACACACATGGTCCGATCAGTCGGATAAGAAGCCCCTCTCCCACCTCACACCGAGGATTCCCTTTCAGTCACTTCGTTTTCCATCATTTCTCTTTTTCCTGCAAAGCAAAAACTGATTTCTTCCAATTTAAACAGAACTTTGTATTTTCATCACTTTCCAGGGTTAAAGTTGATCCTCGGAGGTGATTTATTTTACCATCAAGAACAAACCATTGATTACTGCTATTCCAGTATTAGGCACTGATTGTTTTTGGTGATCTACTGCATAGCCCACCAGTCTTTGAAGGTCCACAAATCTAGAAATGGTCATAAATTCAACTATTTTAATGCTTTTTTAACATCAGTTATTTCTTTCCCATAATTAAAAACAATCTCAGTTACATATTAAATTTGATTTATTCAGCTGCTTTGACTTTTCTGGACCCATCTAGTCCAGACCAGGGTTTCCCCAGATGTGGGTCATGCAGGTCACCCAGCTCTCAGCCACATCTGGCTGCAAAACGACGTTTCTTTCTAAATTTATGATGCCAGTATTTCGCCAGTTAATCATGTACTTTACACGCAGGGTAACTTATTCCACGGTAAACTTCTGTGTAAAGAGCGTTTTCCTGGTAGAAACCTGCTTTAAGGTCTCAGACCTCTCAATGTTGTTTCTATAATTACCACCATTCACCAAATATGGCATTTTTAGGGCTCCTGTTAAAGTCAGAGAGTTTATTATCCTTCAGTTTTCAGCGTTTGAAGTCGGCTCATTACAGAAAGGAAGGCCGTGTTTGTTTCCTGCCTGTTTTTGTCAGCAAATGTCCCATAAAACCCTCAGAACGTAATCACAGGATGCAGCCGACGATCTTGGTTTCTCGAATTGAGCAAAATGGCTTCAACTCCATCATTTTTCATCGTAATTTGATTTGTGTTCCATATTTATGCATCACTTGGATTCAAGCTGTGGCAGAAAAAACATGTGGACCGGTGTTGCTTGTGAGTGTTGGTTAAAGCCACACATCTGTGTGGAACATGAGCTAACGTGCTGCACAGATGTGGATGAAGGTGTGTGTGTGTGTGTGTGTCTTCCAAGCTCCAAGCAAGTGATTACTAACTCATCCCTCACACACACACACACACACACACACTGAACTTTGCAGGATTCCTCCTCGTCTCCACAGATGTGAGGCCATCTTTGAGGATTTACTGTGGTCCGTATCCGGCTGGCCCGAGCCGAGATGTGCTGATGTTTTGAATTAAGCCGTACTTTTGGGAGCGCGTGACTCAGTGGATGTGACATCATCCTGAAGATCCAGAAGGGAAACACATGTCTTAGCTGAGCTGCATGATTAGAGCAGGCTGACAGTGTACAGCTTCCCTCAGTGTGTGTGAGTGTGTGTGTGTGTGTGTGTGTTGTTGCTGGGGTACAGCTCTGAGGAATGTCCACAAGTTCATTACAAATTCTTCATGAGAGGAAAAGCTTCCGGAGAGCCGCAGCGACCTACACGATGCCGTAAAACAGACTTTAAATCATAAGTTCACACCCTCAAGTGAAAACACACTGCGAGGAGTTTTTACAGCTTTCATGATGAAGCTTCAGATGAGTTTTATGAGGATTTAGGTGCTTTAATCCTTCCTTTACTGGAGAACATGCACATACATTAGGCCAAACACACATTTTTCGTGGCACGGTGTCAAAGAAAAGAATAATTTTGTCCTGGATGCACTAAAACCTCCAACTTCTAGAACAGCTCACCAGGACTGGGAACCATCTCAGCACCCACAAAAGCTATGAATCATCAGACATGGCTGCGCGCTCACATAAAAAAGTGATGTCATGACACGCGGATGGAACATCCTGGAAACGGTCCGAGCAGCAAAGAGCCCGGACCGCCTAACAGCGGGACGCGTTGAAGCATCCAGGAGATAATCCTGTTGCTTCAGATGCAAACTGCTGCAGGAGAGGCCAAAGTGTGACACACACACACACACACACACACACACACACACACACACACACACACACACACACACACACACACACACACACACACACACACACACACACACACAGCGCTGAGCATTCCTGGCGTTACAGCACGCTGACTAACAATCCTAACTTTATCCTGTGAGCCGGGCCAAGTGAAAGGAGGCTGTGTGGAGAGTTTACCCACCGAGGGGGTCGAGGCCGGCCCGCTCTGCCACCCTGTCCTCGTCTAAACGTGCTCATGACCTAAAGGGGGAAATGCCGACTCAGTTTATCATCACCGCTCATCGAGTTTCATAGACTTCACGTTACACTTTACTTTTGGATGCAAAATGATTAAGATTTGGGCATGAACAACTATTTTTGTCTGTGTAAAGAACACAAAACTACAAAATGGTTACAGAAAAGTGTGCTTCTCAAGTTCTGTCGTGGCTGGACAAAACATTTTTTTTTTAATTTAATTAGCTTCTTTTGACTGTAAAACTGATTTTATGAGAACACTGTGCCTCAACAAGTTTATTTTAGATGAAGGCATTAAAAGGCCTCCAAAAGCTAAAGTTATAAAAGGATAAAAAACCAATAACGGCTTTGGAAGAGGATTAGAACAGAGAAGGAACCACTTAGTCACATAAAAACGGTTCTAGAAATAATAAAAAATCATGGAAAACCATTTGATGAAAAATAAATATTTATTAAAACTTAAAACTGTCTTTCGGCTCTTTTTACCCTCACCCATATTGTGGTGAGAAGCACAAAGAGCTAATGACACATAGAGTTTTCTTTCTGAATTTGGCCTAATCTGCTAATCTAATCCCTGCATGGTAACAATCAGAGTTCAGAAAAGTTCTTCGGAGAATTATTGGCTGGTATAAACTAGAAAATGACAGAGCAGTTGCTGGAATTTGAACTAAAAATGATAAATGTGGAGGTTAACAAACGCTTTCCTTTAACCGTTAATGTTTCAGATCTACTGAGATTAAAACAGTGTGAATTAGATGATTTTGTACGTGCAAAGATTTTTTCTTTAGAAATCTGAAGGAATACAGTTTCCTGGAAAACACTAAATTTGTTTTTATTATATATTTTAACTTTTTTTCTCTCCATATTTTTACTTAATATATTCAAAGAAAATATTTTACTACACACCCTAACATAAAAATCTCTCGTTTTATATCATCAGTGTTTCCAAATCATGAAGCTTATTTTTTACACTGAACATTTCATCAGTTATTACCATGTGAATTAGAAAGTTTTCTATGTGTAACAATAACAAAGCAACATAAAACAGGGGCAATCCTAGGAGGGGACCAGGGTGGGCCAGTGCCTCTCCTTGGACCCCCAAGTGGCCCCCCTGCAGAGGGCGGGGCCTAAGCATTAATACGTTTGGACTGTTTGTAATAATTTATCCCTGGGGTCACCAACCTTTGCGAACCTGAGAACTTCTTCAGGATTATTGAGCCACATGAAGGGATACAAGGTTGATACACCAGGTTTTTTCATGCACCACACAGTACTGACCTTTGAACTTTGAACTTTATCTGAGTTTAACTAAACTTCCATGAGCTTAAGGAGTTTAAGGGGGATGGAAAAGGAAGACGAAAGAAAGTAAGTAAGCCCATGTTTTGGGATCCGTTTAAATTGACATAAACACATCAAACATGCTTTCTTGACAATCATTGTGTGTACAAATAACAAGAAATGATGGGGAGCTGGTCGTGAGGTGTCAATTCCTTCTCGTTAGCTTGTGTGCTAAAATGGCACATTGTAGGCCCGGCTGACCAGAGCACCTGGCCCCAGCCCGGCCCCCTCTACTGTTGGTCCAGTAGAGGCGCGTCCAAAGTGGAGATTTTGTACGGGCCTCCACTTGCATTTCCAGGATGGTGTAATTTTGTCTCTCTAACAGGCTGTTGACGAAGATTGAAATTAAATATATCTATGTTATGCCTTCTATGGTGCAATTAAACACAAAACCATTTGTATTATAAAAATCATGTTTTTGTGGTCCGTGACGACTCTGACTTGGTGACTTTGGCTCCAGCTCACCTTGAAATGCTTGGACACCTCTGGACTTGAACCTCCCTGCGACACACAGTGAGGAGCTGAAGGAGAACATCATGTGCTATCTGGGCACCTCCACTTTTCAGAAGTGGGTTTGAGGGACATTACCATGTGCCCTTCTTACCTTCACTCCTATTGGACATCATCTGGAGGCAATCAATAGGGCTTTTCTCACTTGTATCCGCCTTGTTGCATTCCTGGAATGG